TTTCAATTCATTTTCATTTCCAGACCCCAAAGGGAACTTGCCGTTCGGTGCTCTTTGCTTGAGCAGATTTGTTTATGTCAAACGTGAGTGATATTTATGTCAGCTCTTAATGCAATCTGGGTCTTTCGAAAGGTCAGACTGTTCACTTGTATTCCTTAATTAATTTAGATTTATCAATTATATAGTCTTTCTTTTCCTCATTAATGTAATATTAATTATTTTAATTTAGTTAATTAACGGTGTAGCATTTATGGTGTTGCTAACTCATTTTGTGATGCTGGGAATTTATAAAATAAAATAAAAAATATGTCTTTGGGTCTTGTTTACCTAGGAAAAACATTGAAAGACATGTTCTATGTTTTGTTGAGTTAGGGATAACAAATAATATTCCATGAAGATATGGTTCCTAATGGAAAATCTTCTATAAAATTCCTTGTGTTGCTAATGATGCCTTGGTTTAATGACAAAGAATGAATTTTAGGTTTCGGGTTCGAATCCAAATGGGTTATTCAGTTCCATGCTTGTAATGATTGATGTTGATTGAAATTGTTGCCGTGGTTGCAAGTTGTATATCCTCAGTGATAGCTAAAAGAGCCTGAAATCTACCTAAGCTGTGGTATTGTTTGGTGCAAGAAAGCATGTTTCAATGGAGGACGGTTGATTGATTCTCGTACTATCTGAATTCATGTCGTTTCTGTCTAAGCTTCGGGTTTAGAAGTACTTTCAGTTGTGTGATCTGTAAGACATGAATATCATATTCGTTCTCTCTGCACAGGGACCTAACTGCAGCAGCCAAGCCTTGCAGTTTCGGCAACAAGAGTACAAGTGATGTTATTTTACGTTTGATAAATGATGAAGGCAGACCTGAGTGGTTCTGTTCCCACTCATCGGTTCTCGTAAGTAAAAGCAGATTCTTTGCAGATCAGCTATCTAATCCTGACTTTGGCTCCTGCATTGAGGTTCAGTGCTCGGATTCTACTTATGATCAGCATGTTAACCTCTTGAGATTACTTTATCTTCCCCCTGATTCACTTTTGGACTCCCTGGACTCAGTCCAATCTGCTCTCGGTGTTCTACACTTGGCAGTTTCGTTCCGCTGTGACGACATTACAAACTGCTGCATCCAGTACCTGGAGGCTGTTCCTTGGGATGATAAGGAAGAGGAACAAATTATAAAAGCAGTTTCGAAACTGGGGCCGATAGGCATGCCCATTTTGGCAAGGATCCAACCAGTAAATTTAGGTGCCACCAAAAGCGTGTTTATTTCAGCAGTTCGCTTTGCCACGTCAATTGGTGGATCTTGTCCTCCTTTTGGAGATGAGCTCAAGACATCTGCGCAGGAACAAGTGGAATTCATGCTTGGAGGAGACGAAGAAACCCCGTTAGTTACAGCCGATGATGAAGTTAAATCAGCGATAAATTTGGGTCTTACCAAAGTTTGTTCGTCGTTCGAAAATGAATTGTCTTCATTGCTTGTTTCGGATACCACATCTGAGATTGTCGAGAACAGAATTTTGCAGAGCCTGTCGGATGTCGAGTGGATGTGTAACATACTCCCCAAGATGGATTTAATGAAGGACTTCGTTTGTAGTTGGGGTGACATGTCTGGTAAGGTTTTGAGGATAATTGAAGACAAGAAACTTGATAATGCCATGTGGGGTATGAAGCTGAAGCTTATAGAAGTGACCGGGAGAGTGCTCGAAGCTGTCGGCTATGGAAACGTGATTCTTCCCGCACTGTGTCGGGTTCAATTGCTGAAGACATGGCTACCCTATATAAGGAAGATTAAACCTCTCCTAGATGCAGAAAGCAAGAAGTACACAGATTTCCCTTACAAGATGGATGAAGACTTGTGCCAGAGCATCGAGGGGGCAATCGTGTCGTTAGTATTAGCGTTGCCATCTAATGATCAAGCCGATATTCTATCGGATTGGATGGAAACCGAGCAAGTTAAGTATCCCGACTTGAGCGAGGCATTCGAGGTATGGTGTTACAGAACCAAGTCAGCGAAGAGAAGATTGATGGAAGGCTTGGATAGAGTTGGCAACACCACCATCAGCCTTTGATTTCTTAGACGCTGTATGATTAACGTGTAAAATGAATAGATGGTGACAGTCCCTATTCATGTAATTCAGTTTCAATCTAAGCTCTATATGACCCTTTTGCAGTACACTAGATTCTTTTCACTGTCATCCTTCTCTACCCTCACATACAACAGATTATCGGAACCCGATGCCCTTCTTCGATGCGCTGGCCATATTTGTGCTGGTTGTCGTGAAGTTCCCCGACATGCACAACGTCCGAGTATTCAGAATCAGTGCCGACCGTCGAGCTGCGATGGGAGTCATGGTCTGGTTTCTGAACTACTAAGTTTCATTCCAACCTTACAATTGAAGGACACGCACATGTGGGCAGCGGGTGATTCACTCAGCCCACCAAGCCTTTGAGTGAAGTACACACTGACTTGAAGCGCAAGCTAAATTAGTGCAGGCAAAAGCTACTGCTCGGCGGATCATGTTCTAAATTCAGTTCAATTATTAACATCATTAGAATTTTATAATTAAATTTATTAATGTGATATTTTGAAAGAACAAAATATATAAATTTAGAAGCCAAATGTAACCAACAAAATGACATTTTAATGGGGTTTTTTTTGGCACAATAGGATAAACAGTTTAATTAGTTAGCATTAGGCATATAGAAGTTTATTTGGAGATTTACGGTATTTGTTACAGTGGCTAGTATTAGTCACGTCAAGGTGACAAATTTAAATGAAAAATATTTTTTATTTAAACATTTTATGATAAAATTTAATAATAAAAAGTTATATTTTATTATAACTCATCACTTTGACATGATGAATTTAAATAAAAAATATTTTTTATTGGAATTCGTCAACTCGAAGTGACGAGTTTCAAAAACATTGTAGCAAATGTTGTAGATCCCAAAATAAACATCTACCTAGGTATGGCATGGGTCAAGTCAGGTCAGATTTTCGGTCCACCCGACCTGAACTGATTCGATTTTTTGAGATATAATCCAAAGTCGACCCAACCTGAAATTATATATTTATTACAAATATTATTTCTATTCAATAAAAATAGGAATTTAATTGAAAGAAAATAATATATATAGGGGTATTATTGCAATTATCCCTAAATAAATAAGATAAAATTAAAAAATAGGTTAGGTCGGGTCGGATATTTTTCACCCTAAAATCGAAACCACCCCAAACCTAATTTTTTTAAATATCCAACCCGAGTCCCTTGGTCGGGTACGGTCCCATGCCCATCCTACCTCTACCTGCCCTATTTTCCGAAGTTTTTACAGGTTTACCCTATAGGGGGAAACCTTTTAATGGATATGGACTTAATAATATAATTTTAAAAAATATAAGTACTTGAAACATATTTTGACCTTCTTAAAAAAAGATACAAGAAATTTTTGTATAATCTTAACTTTGTTTCCATTTTACGACAATTTTCCAAAAGTAGTTTCCGTGCCTAAGGAAAATATTTGAATATTGAGCTCCCGCTTGTTAAGGCAAAAATGTTAGTTGTCAAGCATTCTTGTTGTTTAGATCAAAATACAGATTTAGTCAAAAATAATATATTATGATATTAAAATTTTAAAAATTAATGTCTGTTATTTTTTAAAATTGATATAAATATTTAATAAAATATTATTATATTTATTATTTTTTATATAAATTTGATATAAAAAAATCAACAAGAATTTAAGGAATCAATTGAGGGAGAAGAGCTGGTTTAATTTAGGCAGTGGAAAGAGACATCTATGCATAACCCAACTCACAAGGATGGTTGATATGCACATTTGTCATATATTATACACATACATACATGCCTTCATGCATGCATGCATACATACATACCATAATAATGGGGGAAGGTGTAGATCTGGATTGATCCTGCAAAACCCTAGTGGGGGGTTGTGTATTATTCTTCAACACACTTGTCGAGGGGAATGTTTGTGGGTCCCTTTTCAACACCGAAAGAAAGGAGGCTTTGTCAGATCTTTCTCAATCTTTCATTAAAAAAGTGTAAATTAAGTATTTGGACCTAAACTATTAGTTTTAATTTTTTTTAGTACCTAAACTTTCAATTATTTCAAGATCATACCTAAAATTTAGTTTTTGTTTCATTATAGTGCCTATTTTCAGAATTTAACTTTAATTTTTGAAATTATAGGTACTAAACGAGCAAAATTGATAGTTTAAATACTAAAATGAAATAAAAACTAAATATTAGGTATAGTTTTGAAAAAATTGAAAGTTAAGTACTAAAACAGATTAAAATTAATGGTTTAGTTACTAAATACATAATTTACTAAAAAAAAGTGTGGCAGTGACACTGAAACAATTATCTCTCTCATGGACATGTGTCTAATATATACGTACATGAATATAGCTTTCCAGGAAAAAAGAAAACATTGAGTTGTAGCTTTACTTAGTCGAGGGTTTCTTTAAAATTTACAGTTTGCATGTGGAAGGATCAGATTTTCTTACCTGCCAAACACTTTCCTTCGTTTTCTAAACTTTCTGGAATGGATTCATATTCGAATATTATTAACAGCAAGCAACAATTTGTTTACTAAAATCGAAATGGGAAACTTCATGAACAAATTAAGTCCTTTTTTTCCAACCAGGAATCCCTTACAAACTTGAAAATTATATACTCCATTTCTTTGTACTTGTACTCGGTAGGGTTGCCCTTCTGCTGGATTTTGATACAGGACGAGAATGAATGCCTTTCTCTCCTACAAATTTACCCTAAACAGATCCGGGCTTAGCTTGATAGATTATCTTCTTCAGTGAAGCCGACCTTAAAAAAAAGCTTCAAATTCCCACCATAGTTGAATAGTAAACAAGATACACTATATAATTAAGAAAGAAGAAGGATGACACATAGAGAGATCAAGGAAACCCATGTATATCTTCTGTTAGTAAGGAAACCCGCCTTAAGAAATCAACAGGAGTTATAAAAAAAGAAAGAAAACCCAGTAAAATGAAAGAAGAAAGACCATTAATTACATTTCGTCTTCTTTACCATGATCCTCCACCTAACATTCCAGTCCAATAACCAGCTGAATCACCTTGCTCTTTCTGTTTCTCCATGTCAGTAGTGTTTGAGACTTGCTTTAGATCCTCAAACGGAAACAAAAGCCTCCCGCTTGTCTCCTGAACCCCCTGGAGACCACCGTAGCCGGCGGTTCCAAGCCCGTCCAGGGAGAAAAGCGTTGGTTTAAAGTTTTGCATGGGAAAACCGGATGCATAAACTGTGTTCGGATCTGAAACCGGAAAGGGAATGAAAGAGTTCATCCCCCTGGAAGAGATTCCAGTTAGCAACTCCATAGCCGAAAGTTGAGAAGTAGTCGGGGATGAAGAAGAAGAAGAACCATGAATCTGGTTCTTATTATTATTGTTTTCTAAACCATTTGGAACCTGAACCAATTCAGATATATTCCTATAGCCTTGAGTAGCTGCAACAGGGAAAGCTAGGTTGAGATCTTTCCCGTCATGGATCTTAGGGTTTTTGGATGATGGTAAAGAAGAAGAAGAAGAAGATGATGGTCTCTTGTTCTTTCTGGAACCACCGCCAACGGGGATGTTTCTAAGCGAACCGCCTTCGGTCCAGTACCTCCGACAAGTCTTGCAAAAGTACCTAGGTTGAGTGAGACTGTAGTTGTTGTAATAGCAGAATTTGGTCTTGGTCGAGTTGCACCTCGGACAGTTCAAAGCTTGTTCCTTTTGAGGCCTTATTTTCCTCTCCAAACCTGCTGGTTTTGGACATGTATTCGTCACTATCTCTTCTATTGGTCTCACCACAATCTCCTACAAAAAAAAAACAACACCACAAAACGAAATCAATAACTTCAAGATCAAAACAAGATAGCAGACAAACAGAAAAACCAAACCAGTTAACTGGTAGTCTGATTTACACTTTCCATTATTGTTTCAAAAAAAGAAAATTCAATTTTAAAAAGGGTTCTCTTTTGCTTTATCTCATATCGATAAAGCTAAAGTAAAGAAAACATGTAGACGAACTGATCAAAAACTAAATCCAAACGAGTGGGGACTTCGACTACAATCCACCAAGAAAACCATCTTTTTCCTTTTTCTTTTACACAATAAGAACACTATCATCTTTTGCAAAAGAAAAGTACCCAATAAACACACAATTGACTCTAAATTATTCCTTTGAAGAAAGCCCAAAAAAAAAAGTTTAATAAAGAATGGATCTCTGATCTCTCTACCTGTGGCCATTGAGCAGTATCCATGGATGAATCGTCAATATAAGATAGAAAGAAAAACCAAATCTTTTTCGTCTAGAAACTGGGTTTGACAATCAGGGAAAATGAGATGTTTTCTGGCTTTTTGAGGGCGCTTCTTGTATATGTATAATGCATCACCAGAGAGAGAGATGGGACGTTTTGCATAATAATATACTATATATAAATAACAGCTAAGTGGGAATATTTGTTTCTGCAACTACAATAATTATATCTAAATAATTTCATCCTTAAACCAAATACGTATTTATTTCATTTTATTTATTTTTGTACCCATTGAATAAGGTTTGACTTAATAAGAAGGGATGAAAAAGAAGCAAATGACAAACAGAAAAGTTGATGAATTGATTGCAGGTTGAGGTTAAAAGCTTTAAAAGCTCATGAATCCTTCTTTTTCTCCATCTATTTCTCTATCTCTATCCCTTGCGTATTTAATGAAATGATTTTGAGTGAAGCAAGAGGCAAAATTTATATCTGAAAAAAAAATGGGTCCGAAGTCTTATAAATGCAGAAGGTGGTGAAATTGCTCCAAGGGAAACTGTACTGTAATGGAATTATGACTCCACTTTGGTTGAGGAAGAGTACCAAACGCAAATAATTTAAGCTCGGTGAATGCTAGTGCTAATGCTAGCTAGCATTCACGTTGAACTGAGTCATGATCCACATTTAATTTTGGTGCTAATCTTGGTAATTTGGTTTGCTAATACGAGTTGTTGGCTCATTCACATGGTTTTCAGAATCGGACCGGTTAGCGAACCGGTCATGCTACCGGTTCATTGGTTTAACCGGTCGAACCGGTCCGACCGGTCGGAAGAATCGGACGACGTCATAATTATTTAAAAAATTAAATAAAAATACCAAAAATATTTAATAAAAAATAATTTTTTATATCACAAGTCATATTCAAAGAAGTCATAACGTATATAAGTTAAAATCCATAAAATCAAGTGAAACAAAATGATTCAAATTAACTACAACATAATATTTAAGGTAAAACATATTAAATAATAAATATAATTATATAACTATAATTAAAAAAATAAATTTGGGGTTAAAAAAATCATAACAAAATGATATTGTTTGGTTTAATTTTTTTTTTAAAAACAATCTCACATGGCTAAGAAACATAGAAGAGCATCCCAAAAGTCTAAAGAGTAAAAATATGAGAACAAAACAATCTCACATTGCTAAGAAACATAGAAGAACATCACAACTAACTTCTATAAATAATAGAGGTAATTTGACATTCAAAATCATTGAGCCTTTTGGTGAGCATTGAGTGAACTATTCTTTCACTTCAATCAAGCTCGAATTTTAGGCTTCAATCGAGCTTCTAATTTTTTTTTTAGTTCAAGCCTTTTTGAGTTCAAGTTTCAATATTATATTTCGAGTTTGAGTTGAACTTGATAATTTTTAGCTTGTGAGTTTGAGTTGAGTTGAGCTTACTTTTAAAGTTTTCAAGTTCGAGTCAAGCTCAGCAATACTCGAGTTCGACTTGGCTCGTTTAACAAACGACGTTGTTTGGTTTAATTTTTTTAAAAAAAACAAAAATCCCGGTTTTTTCCGGTTTTCAGCCGGTCCGGTTCGAACGGTTCAGCAGTTCTGGCCGGTTCACTAATAGCGGTTCAACCGGTTTAGATTGAACCGGACTAAGCAATGGTTCCCGGTTGAACCGGTTGAACCGGCCGGTCCGGTCCGGTTTTCAAAACAGAGCTCATTCACATTCTTAAACTACGTTATTATTTCTGATTAATCTAGTAATTGTGAAACAAATTAATGAGAAATTATTTTATAGACCCGTGTTATTTCTGATTAATCTAGTAATTGTGAAATGAATTAATGAAAAATTATTTCATGGACCCGACTCACCACGTCATCTATGATCCCCGTGAATGGCATCCACAAATTTCAAAATAACTTTTAAATAACCACCCACCTTTTATTTCTGTGTAGAAAAGAGATGAAGATTCATCTTGGAGAAAAAAATGATATGGATAAATATTATTGGTAGGAGACACGGATGACGTGATGAGCCGAAACCATCTAATAATTTCTCCAAATTAAGATATTTCCATTGTTTTGAAAACCGGACCGGACCGGTCGATTCAACCGGGAACCGTTGCCTAGTCTGATTCAATCTAAACCGATTGAACCGCTATTAGTGAACCGGTCAGAACCGCTGAACCGTTCGAACCGGACCGGCTAAAAACCGGAAAAAAACCGGAAAAAATCCGGAAATTTTGTTTTTTTTTAAAAAAAAAATTAAACCAAACGTCGTTTGTTAAACGAGCCAAGTTGAACTCGAGTATTGTTGAGCTCGACTCAAACTTGAAAACTTTAAAAGTAAGCTCAACTCCACTCAAACTCACAAGTTAAAAATTATCAAGTTCAACTCGATCTCGAAATATAATATTGAAACTTGAACTCAAAAAGGCTTAAACTAAAAAAAAAATTAGAAGCTCAATTGAAGCCTAAAATTCGAGCTTGATTGAAGTGAAAGAATAGTTCACTCAATGCTCACCAAAAGGCTCAATGATTTTGAATGTCAAATTACCTCTATTATTTATAGAAGTTAGTTGTGATGTTCTTCTATGTTTCTTAGCAATGTGAGATTGTTTTGTTCTCATATTTTTACTCTTTAGACTTTTGGGATGCTCTTCTATGTTTCTTAGCCATGTGAAATTGTTTTTTTTTAAATAAACCAAACAATATCATTTTGTTATGATTTTTTAGCCCCAAATTTATTTTTTAATTATAGTTATATAATTATATTTATTATTTAATATGTTTTACCTTAAATATTATGTTGTAGTTAATTTGAATCATTTTGTTTCACTTGATTTTATGGTTTTTAATTTATATATGTTATGACTTGATTTGAATATGACTTGTGATATAAAAAATTATTTTTTATTAAATTTTTTTGGTATTTTTATTTAATTTTTTAAATAATTATGACGTCGTCCGATTTTTCCGACCGATCAGACCGATTCAACCAGTGAACCGATAACATGACCGGTTCGCTAACCTGTCCGATTCTGAAAACCATGGATATTTCCCATTTTCCATGCTATCTTATCCTAAATTTTTAAGTAACTTTACTATTTTAACTTTAACGCATTTTTAAATTTTCTTTTATTTTCTTCAAATTAATAATTAATTAACTGTCAATAATTTCCGTGATTAAAAATTCTTAATTTACATATCTCTTTTCCTTATGTGGTGGACAGAAACTCTTAAAAAAACTATTTAACTTACAAATATGTAAAATATGAACCAAGTAAAAAATAAATGTCATGTAAAGTTAACTTTTTAACTTTTATATTTCCTCTTTCTTTCAAATGAAGAGCAAATTTATAAATATTTTAATAATTTAAGGGTGAGATTTATCTATTTATTATATAAATTATGATGAATTTATTTTTAAAATGATAAATTTTACTACGACACAATCAAATATTTTATTTTTATAATTTTTTATTTATTAATCAATGCTAACATATTCAATTTATACTAATATATTGACCGATCAAAAATATTTAGATTTGATTATTTTAAGGATGAATAACGTTTCTTTCTTCTTTTTTTTGAAAAACTAAATATGATCAATAATTTTTAGAATATATGACTAAAAATTTCAGTTGACAAATTTCCTTTTGTTTAGGTTGTAAGTTCAATATCTATTAAAATTAAAGTTAAAAGGATAATCTTTTCTCCTGTAATAGTCTCAATTTATCACTTTCGTCCCTATTATTTTTTCGCATCAATTTAATCATCGAATTTATCCAATTGCATCATTCTATAACCTTACTCCTAACTTAAAACCCTAAACACTAACTTAGATTTATAATTTAGGATTTTAAGTTAGTAGTAAGTTTATAGAATGATGCAATTGAGCAACTTGGAGGATTAAATTGATGCGAAAAAATGATAGGATCGAAAATGATAAATTTAGTCTACTACATAGGCAAATATGAGACTTAAGCCAAAATTAAACTTATTCTTCTTTAAATGAGAATTACTAAAAAAAAGCACTAAATATGAGATTTTGGATATTATACAACAAAACATTTTTTTTTTGTTTCTGATTTCTAGTACGACAACAACTTAGCACTTAAATTATATTACATTTGACCTTAATCAATCTGTCTTATCTTAAAGTCTACTATTTATATTTGAAATTGAAAATAAAATCCAATCCAAACGCTGCCTTAACCCTTTGGATATAGATGGGATGAGGTTTTATATATATGATTTCACTTGTGATTTAAGACTAAAGGTGAAATCTTTAAGGGGCATGATTGAGCGGTGCTGACTGTGATTGGCTTGATTCCTTTTGGTGATGATGCTCCTTGATTGATTACAAATGGGACCCTCCATCAACGACGGTTGTTGGGCCACGTGGTTTTCTTTTTAGGCTGTACATGTGAGTAGGTATGGTAAACGGATATAATTTCGTAGATTTCACACTGTATCCGTTCTAATTGGGACGGGATGAGTATAACTTTAATAAGTAGTGGGCAAGTGTGGATTGAGAAAATAGTACCTGTCGCGGGTAGTAGGCGGATGATGGTTTTGAGAGACCTTACCCGCCCCGCATCTGCCTGTCTCATATCCGCCCGCTCACTAAATACCCATTAAATTTTAAATAATTATGAATTTAGGTATAATTTTAGAGAATATTTTATAAATCTTAATATTATATAAGATATATAATGTCAGGCGGATCTAGCCTGGTACTTCTTCAGTTAGGTAGTAAGTGTGAAAATGAATTTGAAAATGTATCCGCTTGGGCGGGTGTGTATTTAAAAAATTTCACTCATCATGGGTGATGAAGGGGTAGTAGATTTAAAAATATTAGATAGATATAAAGATGAGGAAGAAGATATCTGCATTCAATCCGCCCGTTTGCCATTCTACCCGTGAGTGATATTATGTGATTATCGTACCTAATTCCCTTAAGTGGGGGGCCGATCTATAGAGTAACACTTCACTTGGGTGCATGATTATTGCATGCACACGTGGTTCACGTCCACTGGGTTCACTACATTTATCTTAACGTTCATTACAAGTGAAGATGTTG